ATTGGACAACTGCTGGATCATTGCGGTATCGTGCTTCAGATTCGTCATGCGTTGGCACTCACCGGTCACTTGCTGCAATGTGACATCCGGATGCTGCTCAATTTTGTTCAGTATTCGTGTTCGAATGTCGGCGTCTTTGGATGCTTGTAGGCCACAGACGTATATGAGACATTTAAACTGATCACTTGTCACCTTGTGTAGTTGTGACCGATCGCACTCGCGATTCACACGGCTGGAATAGTCGACCAGTCTTCGTCTTCTTTTTTGTTATTGACAGACACTTGTGCCGGATGTTGAACAAAGATGTCTGTTCTCCGAAAATCTGCGACAGGACTGCAACTACTTCATCAAACGACAAATCGGTACTCTTTTCAGGCAGGATAAAATTAGTGAACTTCTAGTGTTCGGCAGCACTCAGCTTCCGCAGCATTCAAGGAATCTTCCTTTACGCTGGAAGGTTGGCAAAATCAACCCGGAACATGTCTTCATACTTGTGGATCCAAGAAACAAATGTTATACCGGCATCAGCATCATAATGGAACTTACTGATCTGCTGAGTCAGGGTTTCTGGTGAGGGAGCACTTTCACTTGTCCCTAACCCAAGGGGTTTGACTGCACTGTCAGCTTCTGAGTTAGCATCTCTACCAGCTTGGCCTGGGATGCTTCAAACTGCGCCTGTTGTTGTTACCAAAGCATCTGCAATTGTTCAAAACTGATTGCCATTTCTGGGTACGGTTGAACTCGCATCGCCACTGTTATAACGCTGCACCCGTAATCGACCGGTTGATTCACGCCTGCTGGTAAATCTGCGCTCTTACGCCTGCTCTGTTTGACGCTTTGACAAAGCCGATAGGAAGGAAGACAGAAGAAGACTCAGCAGACCAGAGTTGTATTAAGACCGAGAACGCTCATATTAATATGTCGGTCACACCATTCCTCTAAACATCACCTGGCCGATTTGCCTGTAAGCCCACGCTCCACACATGCTTGCCCGCTCCGTCTGTCTAGTTCACCGTCTTGCTCGGGCACTCCAATCATCGTCCGCCTACCGGGCGAATGGCAACGCACGTGATGTCTGACCCGCGATTTCGTCAGCTTCCTGTCAGGCCTTGGCAACACGCCTGCTGTCTGATGCGCAGTTTCCTCAGCTTTCGGCTGGGCCCTGGCAACGCGTTCGCAGGGTCTTTCCCGAGCACAATTTGTGGCAAACATGCGATCGTTGGGAATCAGCTTTCTTGCCCAGTTGTCAGTATCAAAGTTCGTTGACATCCGGGCTGAGTAAGCGCCCAATGAACACCGTCGAAGATCACTGGCCGCATATTCTAAAACGTTAATATTAGCAGTTATGTCTTTATGTGGCCACTCAAATTGCCAAACTGCACATTGGGACTCTACACAGTCTGTGGAACTTATGGATGCTCGCTGACCTATTCCGGTTGGAAACGAATACAATGAGGCTCACAAAAATCTCAGGGCAAAATGCTTGTTAGCCTGAAGAGAGACAGGGACGCTTGGTGGTTTCATGGTAACTCGGAGATGGAAACAGCCACTACCACTGGTAATCATCGTAAGCTATTCCGTCTGATACGGGAAACAGGCAGCAGGAGACCTGGTGTCAGCGAGACGGTACGTGACGAAAGTGCGCAACCGATCCACAGCCTGTTAAAACGCTTGAAACATTTGGCCGAATACTTTGCAAAGCATTCTTTCGGGTATTGAGCGCCCTCCTCCCTGGGCCGTCTCCTTGGATCCGCCCTCACGCACAGAAGTCGAAGATGGGATCAAGCTTTTGAAATTGCATAAGGCCGCTGGTGCAGATGGAATTCCCCCAGCCCTCTTCCAATTCGGGGTATCTGCTCTAGTAAATGGTTTACATGAGTTGCTAGTGAAATTTTGGGAGCAGGAGACTGTCCCGACAGAATGGAGCCGCTCTGACATAGTCCTAATTTAAAAGGGAGGCTCCTGTTCGGAATGCGGCAATCATAGACGGAGCAGTCTGATCTCATTTGCCTCTAGATTGTCTTCATCTATCATTCACCACAGACTCATTGGCATTCATGAAAGCCAGATTCGTGAACAGCAAGCAGGGTTTCGCCGAGGTCGGTGTTGCATCGACCACGTCTTCACTTTGCGTGAACTGCTGGAGCACCGCCATGTTTATTGGCGACCCAACGTTGTCGTGTTTCTCGACATTAAATGTGTCTTCGATTCGGTGTATCGATGTGCCCTTTGGGACTGTCTGCTAAGAAAAGGTGTGCCCGATAAATAGGTAAACATTTTCAAAGCCCTTTACACGCATAGTTCGGGCAGAGTGAGGGTTTAGGGCAAACTGTCACCGCCTTTCAATATCTCCATCGATGCGAGACAAGGTTGCCCGCCGCCACCTTTCTTATGCAACTTCGCTATTGACGAAGTCACAGAAACAGCATTCGCTGGGCACGGCCTAGAAGGTGTGGAGCTACTTCCTGGTGAGCGACTTCTTGACTTAGAGTATGCGGACGATATTGCCCTAATCTGTGACAGCCCCCAAACACGCCAAACAGCACTGGACCGATTAGTACTAGCTGTCAATCGTTTTGGGCTATGCTTTGCTCCATCGAAATGCAAAGTACTTCTCCAAGATTGGCAGGGACCTATCCCTGCGCTAACGCTTGGTGGTGATCTGCTAGAAGTCGTTCAGGAATTCAAGTACCTGGGCAGCTATATTAGCACCCGTGGGATTGAAGATGAGGTTACGAACCGTAAAGCAAAAGCTCGAGGTGCTTTTGCTAATCTCCGCCACCTGTGGCTCAGAAGCGACATCACTCTCTCCCTGAAGGGCGGAGTTTATAATGCAGCCGTCCGTTCAATCTTCTTATACACCTGTAAAACCTGGCCCATAGGGTCGACCGACATAAAGAAGCTCGTCACGTTCGATTATCGCTGCTTCGCAGCGTAGCTCATGTCAAGTGGAAGCAATGAACGTGTTCAGCGTTACATATTTGGTGCAGGAAGAGCGAGTGAACCGCTCAGTACCATTATATCACGCATCAGGATCCGATGGCTGGGCCACGTGTTGCGCATGCCAGCGCACCGACTCCTGTGACGTGCATTGTTTTCGCGCCGGGGGTACGATTGGAAGAGGAGGAGGGGAGGCCAAGCGATGACTTGGTGGAGAGAAATGAAAACCCTCAGCTCGAAGCTGGCGTCGATGGGTGCATCCCGACTGCCTGGCTGGGGTTCTAAGGACGATGAACACGTTGGGCTGGACACACTTGTTGATGCAGATTTTGACCTGTTCTCCGAGCTGAGTGATTATTGTGCAGACATTTCGTTGCCTGACAAAACAACATCATCAGTGGGCCTTCAGGCGTCTGGTTCGCAGTCTTCCTATGGAGAAGAGCCTCCCTCAGTGGCGTTTGTGTTGTTAGTTCCTTTGTCCATCCCTTTCTCATTAGTTTCCCACTCCAATCCCGATCTCATGCAAAAAGCATAATATAATATTTAACGTCATATTTTTATGTGATGTAATTTGTAGTGCAATTTTTCAGTATCTTATCTTTCTGTATTGCGGCACATTAGCTGAGGCATTTTTCGCACCCTCAGCCAACGTGTGCTAATGAGGATGAGGATGAGGGTGAGAATGCCGATGACGATGATGGTGATGATGACGATGATGATGATGATGATGACGATGATGATGATGATGATGACGATGATGATGATGATGATGATGATGCTGCTGCCGCTGCCGCTGCTGCTGCTGCTGTTGCTGCTGCTGCTGCTGCTGCTGCTGCTGCTGCTGCTGCTGCTGCTGCTGCTGCTGCTGCTGCTGCTGCTGCTGCTGCTGCTGCTGCTGCTGCTGCTGCTGCTGCTGCTGCTGCTGCTGCTGCTGCTGCTGCTGCTGCTGCTGCTGCCTGCTGCTGCTGCTGCTGCTGCTGCTGCTGCTGCTGCTGCTGCTGCTGCTGCTGCTGCTGCTGCTGCTGCTGCTGCTGCTGCTGCTGCTGCTGCTGCTGCTGCTGCTGCTGCTGCTGCTGCTGCTTCTGATGATGGTGGTGGTGATGATGATGATTAGGGTTATAATGATGATGACGACGACGATGTTGATGATGATGATGGTGGGGGTGATGATGGTACTGCTGCTGATGCTGCTGGTGATGAGGATGATGATGCTGACGATGATGATGATGATTGATGATAATGATGATGATGATGATGATGTTGATGAAGAGGAGGACGATGATGATAAGGATGATGAGGATGGTGATGATGACGAGGATGTTGATGATGGTGATGGGGAGGAGGTGGAGGAGGAGGATGATAATGATGTTAATCATTGCCTTTTACCCGTAATATCCCATTCTTGCATTGTGAAATTAGTACCTAACCGCCGTGTGTACAATCAGCTCAGTTCAGGCTAAACTGTTCCCAGGATAACATTGTGTATCCGGTGGTTGGCTCAGTAAAGAGGAGGTAACAGCAGCAGGCGTAAACACAACAAACGGATTATTTTTGAGGTAATTGTGTGCCGACCTTCTCTAACTACCCCAAAGCCCACGTCTTCCTGATGGCTGTGGCGTATAAGTTGCGGGTGGTGAAACCCATCACTATCCTTTCGTCAGCACAGACATCCTTCAGATTCTTTAATTCACCACAACCGAAAATATGGGAACAGATATTGCGAATTAGTTTGACAATATAATTTGGAATAACATCTGAAAATACTGCGACCGAGGAGAGCTAGTAAATGCTGATGTGGAATTGGTCATGAAAATGTGCGGTCTAGAAAGGCGCCAACGAAACGGATAAGCGTTATTTTCCTAACCATGGGGCTACAAACTGCGAATAAGCACACGACTGTGAGGCCAACAGAACATACATTGATACGCTTGTAAAGCACTGCACGTTATGCACTTCATAAAATAAAGCAAATGATGATTGCTGTTTAAAGTAAACTGCTATAAATTCGGTTTCTAGTCTACTTTTAATCTTCAAATATCTGCGGAAATTGTATGACTTACTTCCTCGAAGATACTTGCATTCTTATTAGCCGTTGCCTTCCAAACATCGTAGAAGAAGCTGTCCGTCACGGGGTCATTCAGTTGCTCAATCGGCCATTCATTGCAAACCGCCCTGCGGAGCGATGGGAGGACGCCTAAATGCTCGGCCATTAAGGTGCGTCGAACTCGACGTATAAATGCGCTGTGATTCGTCTGACGAGATTCGAGGGGATCCATCTCGATCAAAACCGCCAGTTCACTGTCCCGTTTTCCTCGCATGCTTCGATCGTTAAGGTTCGCTGATCCAATTATCATTTTCCGGTCATCTACGATCATAAACTTGCTATGCACATAGACGATTTCCGTCCTCTGAGTAAGGGGAGGCAGTTATGCAGATGGTTGCTCAACCGAATCCATCGGGTAATACTTACTATTGCAGTTAAAGTAATATAGCAGGTTGACTAAATACAGCACTAAAAGCATGAACTACAGGTACTTATGCGCAAGTCGGTAGATAGTGAGCGGCATTATATCACATTTAATAAGTTAGCTTTTCCGGCATATCCGAGTGGCCCTAACCACAAATGGTTAACAAGCTGGTTGCGGGTTCTAGCCCCAAGAAGGTCAGACGGAGTGCCCACTACTGGTGATTCCCGAATAGATGTAACAGCCGTACTGTGCTTTGCTGAGCGTGTGACGACTGTCTGATTGAGCCTAGATGTGATGAATTTCAACGTATACTATACCACCACACCTACTGCTCTCCTGCAAATAGAAACTTTTTGGTGATGTTAAATCGAGTACTCAACCCATGTAAATGGCCCTCGTTGCTGTTGTTGTTGTCGTCGTTGTTGTTGTAGCAACTGCCTTTCCGCACACGTTGTCTTTTCTGGTTGGAAGCACTAATGTTTCATTCTTCATGACCCTTGCTAGCATAGAAATGTATACGCACAAATAAGGTAAAAGTATGATCTGGTTGAAGTAGTTGTTCCATGTACAATCAAGATTGTTCAAGGCTTCACCATACTGAATCCGGAGGTAATTGTGATGAACATATGTAGTTCGCGTAGGGGATGGCGATGTGCTTCTGAGATGAGCGTAGCACACATGACACGCATGCTGTCCCGGTGTTAAATTTTTCGGCTCAGGTTAGAGTGCATTGGAACGGCTTAAGGACTCATGTGAAGTTCAACACATGACATATGCTCATGCTCACATAAGAATTCCAGTTAGCGAAGAGACCTTTTATCAATAATTCTCATCTGGCTATTGACCCAGTTTACTGCTTGTTCAAAGGCTTGCGGATTAGTGGGCCTCAACTAGGTTTGCGGGGGCTAGTGTGCTTTCTGCTTATTTCACATAGTAATCTAAAGGGAATTAATGGAGAAATCTCTTCGCTAAGTGAACTTCACAAGCAGTTCACGAAGAAATTTTTCCTTGCTTACAGCGAATATCACAGTCCGCTGTCATCAGTGCGATAGGGAGATAAAGAGGACCGTCTATGAACGATTTAAGGGAAAGAAAATAGCTACTGGAATTTAAGATCGAAACACAGCGAGACTTTAAACGACGATACGTGTCCGTTTGTGTAGAAATTAACTAGCAGCACTTTCCTCATAACAAGTCCGTACGTAGTTTCAACCACATACTAATTAGCTGGGCTGCATAGCGGCTTGAGCTCAGATTTGCTTGTCACATTGACCATGTATCGCTTTCTGGTTGACCCGAATATAACACGCTGTGATTGTATACAAATTGACGAAGGATTAACTGCTCTTAACGGTTGTTCATCCCGTATTCCCACGAGCGGATTCTCCATTTTTCCCGGTGACAAACTTTTACAGTGTTCCTCTTGCTTGTTTACTGCCCTCATACTATTCCAATCACATTGAAAATTAAGTAAACTTTACTCTCTTTTATCGAGAAGTTAATTTGGAGCAGTACCGCAACACAAATACTTTACGTTTGGATTAGTCATGAGCCGGTAAAGAGGAGCCCGCACCACGTGCCATGCTAGAGATCAGGCTAAAGAGCGCGAGGTTTCCTAACCCAACCACACTCAATGCGACCAGTTTGCCGCCTTCGCAGCGGTCTGTGCTGACGTCCAAGGAATAAGCCCTATTCTCTCATCCACAGAAAGAACTGCACAAAAAGTCAGTTGAGTCATGGCCCTATGTATCAGCCCCGAGAAAATATTTCGAAGGCCTCAGACAAGTAGGTAGCAGCGTATTAAAGCCTCTCCTAGAAGTACGGAAACGCGGGTTTATTAACATGCTTGAATCCAGCTCCCCATACGCGCACATACACGCCGGCTTCCTTACCAAGAAGCTTGCAGGATGATATACCAAACTTTTAGTGATCCCAGGAGAGACCATGTTTGCGTATTTGTAGAGAAAAGAAGTGAGTGCCTTTGGTAGTACATTAGACATGACATTAAATAGGTGATGTAATGACATACAGGTATTGATCTGATCAAACTTGGCTGTGAGCTCAACGTGAAAGAGACTCAGAGGTTTGAGCTAAAGAAGTCCAACAAGAATCTGTAGACGAGTACATTAAGTCAGAACTTTGCACATCCTTTGGAAGCTATTTCCACTGCAGTTTGTGCGTGTTCAGACTCTCAATCTGTAGACATCGTTCCTTAAAGCGATGAAATATTCCATGGGTTGACTACGGTACTAGTCCCAATGGAGGTAGAAGCCCTCATCCTCTTGTAACATGGCTCAGCGTAACGGCAGTCAACCCAGTTTCGGAGCAGTGTCCATGCACAGCTGATAGATCACTGTTTTTTGCACATGGACTCTAAGGTAAGCCGAGCAGTATAACATCTATTTATAAAAGGGGGTTACGCTGGCGGGCTGTGTAGCGCACGTCAAGGGCTACGCGTTCGTTAGAAAGAAATTTACATAAGGGGGTCTGAAATACTTGCTTTTCAGTACTGGTCTAAAGAGAAGCGTACGAGCTGTCAGGAGTGCTGTTTGCGTATCGAATGACAAACAGGAAGTAATTGAACGATTAACTAACCTTATCAATGCTGCTACTAATACTTCTAAAGCACAATCATTTACGAGGATAGTTTAACTGCCACAACAGTTAGAAGGACATAGAGGCATGAAGAAATGGTTCAAAGTGTCTGTTTCATCGGTTAGACTCAACATGTCAACAAAGTGACTAAAAACGCAACGCACTAAATTAAATGTTAAATGTGAACAATACTTTCATCTACATACCAAAGAACTATAATATCGGGTCTTGCGGCTTGATTTTATTGGGACTGGTAAAGAATCAGGTGAACAAATTAAAACCGGTAAGCCAGGTCAATCTTATTGATTGTAGCACTCTGATAAGCTGATAAATTGGAAGTAGAAAGTAGCAAACAAGCATGTTTTCAGTGGCTCCTCATCAGGTTAGTACAACCACAACTATGTAGATGAAAAATGAGCACGTAAAGTATAGGCGTCAATAAATCAAAATTTCTCATCGCTAAGGCTATGTGATTAGCCCGACCTGTGTGGTGTTCGGGGGGGATGGCGTGATAGCTGGTAAATGACAAGAATATTGGGAACCCGTTTCTTAACAACTGACTTAACCTTAGATACATGCGAAAGTATAAGCAATGTTATCACCAATACAAATCCACCAGCACTCATACGACAGACAAACACTCGCACCATTTATGGTCGATGCAAGCACTACACTGAAACCACTCTCAGACTGAAAAAATACGTAGATCTTGTTTTGAGAGATAGAACGGTGTTGCTTCATTACGGTTACGTGAAATGCTATTGAGGCAGGAAGACGAGACACAGAAATCCGAATAAACAAAGGGTGAGAACTTTGATGCGGCTGCTTAAGTGAGAAAAATCAAAATTCTACGTTGAGTGATGTCGCAATAACATTGGACAATGGCCAAAAGTGTGGATCACCAAAATCTTACTGCTGTCCCCTCCGCGTGTGCCAGCCGTGGAACGCCCTCCCTAATTAAATCGTCTCTGCTCCCAATCTGGCGATATTTAAAAACAAGCTGACGATGCATTGTCTCATTTACATACATGTTATGACTGGTTAGCCAGGGGCTACAAAACGCAATCAAACGGTATCTTGCCAAAATCCCAACCAATGGATTTATGGATTTGTACGTTTAGTACGCGAACATCTCCGCTATTCCACATAAGTCTAGGGTGAGTCCACCAAAGCGCTTTTCACTTTATTATGCAATTCACTTTTCGCAATAATTTCCATTCCACGGGACTTGTTAAGCAGTGCTTTTTAACCGTAATAAACCATTGTTCCATTGAAGCTCGTGTATCGCGTCATCTGTTCATAACAAACAGGGGAACTGTCCCGTAGCATTACCGTAGGTCTAAGCGAGGAGCATATGAATTCCGCCTCTATAAAACCGCAACTCCAGCCTTGATCTGATGGCGTTCTCAAGGCTGCTGCTACGAAAAACACTAAAACTGTGCTTCTGTTACCAATCAAATTCTGTACAATGTTCTCTAACTGTGCTTTGACTGTTTAAGTGGAAACATTCTAAAATAACATAATTACTAGAATCATTGTGGAAAAATTAAACATCCGCTACAGCTGTACATTAAAATCTGCAGTTACACATATGTTCGGTAACCGGTAGTATGCCATAAAATGCTTCGGTTTTTATAATATAAACAATATCACTGATCCGTTGCGGCAGCTCACATGCCAGATAGTTTAACCGGGGATCAGAACGGGTCGGAAACATTTCACTATAAGCCCTGCTACTTCTTAGTAGTAAGCAATTGTGATCACAGTCTTCAAATGCTACGCGCGTATAGCTGCTATGGCGCGGAAGTTGTGACCCCTGGAGGATAGTCACTGTCGTCTGTAATAGCAGGAACCCGCACATTAACGGAGGATAGGCCGCACCATACCCCAGTTAGCTTGCATGTCATGGTGCTCTGCACCCGACCCCCATAGATCCTTGGTATTAACCGCTGGCTTTTAGCACAGCCAATATCGTTCGTGGTTTCGTTCGCACAGGGGGACCGAGGAGGAGGATGAGGTGACCATCTCGTGCCTTACCAGATCGGTGTTTAGACTATCTTAGTTGTAAGGTGCCGGCACGACTCAACAAGATTTCCCAATAGTCCTCCCAATCATTAGCAATATATTTGTGGCCCACTACTGATTGATTGCCTGCTTCTGAAGCGATCTGTGCAAGAGTTTGATTCACATTTTCTAACAATACTGAAAAGCCGAAAAAGTCAACGAGAAACTGTTTCCGGGAGAGTCAAATCCACTTAAATAAAACTTTGTACCAACCTACTAAGCAGCAAACTATTCGCCCTTCGTGAGTGTATAGCATTCATGACTTGACTCGATGAAAATAA